GCGACTAAAAGTACTATATCTGAAAGTAAGGCGATGGAAATTTCTTTCATTCAAATAGCGAACATGGCGTATTTGGATGAAAGAAAACTGACGGCATTTCTCATGACTCTCATTTTCAGATCCAGAGAACCTTTTAGACATGCACTTTTCATATTCTACAAATTGTTTAGCAAATGCTCACGTTCCAAGTAAAATGAAAATTCTAACCTAAATCAAATGATCTTATGAAATTTGAATCTTAGGGCAGCTGCGAATACTTAATTATCGTTGGCATTTCTCCCTGCCGACGCGACTCGTCGAAAACTTCCCACGTCTTTTCACTCCTCCGCCCCCCTACGTTTTGCTATAGTGCTACGTTTTACCATGGCGCTACGTTTTATTATGATCGCGCTCCGTTTTATTAGATGTTACGCTCTGTTTTTCTATCGCGCTACGTTTTGTTATCTGGCCCCGTTTTATTATCGTGCTTCTTCTTAATAACTGAACGCCTGGAATAGGCTATAATTTTTTTCAAAGTCTAAGCAGGAAGAACCTCAATGCGTTGGTTTGATTTTTTACTGCAAAAAAAAAAAAAAAGTGAGACAAGGTGTCTACAATAGGGATCATTTAGTCCCTTAGTGGAAATGTTACTTAATTAAGAATTGCTGAATGAATAAGAAACAACACTGAGATACTGAAGTTAGCTTAGAAATCAATGATTCTAGTGTAACGCATCTCCAAGTGAATTCGAACCTCCCGTAGCCATTAAAGTGCACCTAAACGTAGCAACGTGCGAAATTTGCAAGAGGGTATCACGCTTCATACATTCCTCATACAATACACCTGGTCGGCATATTTCGGACAATATCGACCACAACCTTCCCAAACAAGTGAAAATGTGTGAAAAGCAGACTTTCGTGTTCTCGATTTGACGTCACATTATCCGCTAGAGCCATTCCTCTTTAAACTCGGTCGTGGGGCAAGATGGCGGCCGATTTTCCATATTTTGACTAGGCACAGAAAATTTAAGATTTAAGCAAATTAAAAAATTTTTGCACAGAAATACTCCAAAAAATAAGCTTATTTCGTTAAGCGAAAAAAAATTTGGGGGTTTAGGTGCACTTTAAGCTAACCATTAGGTGCTTCTCATGAAAGAAAGTTAAAAAGGACAAAAATAAATGAATATGACGACTGCAAACCTGGTTATCACTGTGAAACAAACTGTTTGGTTGACATTTGCTTCATGCAGACCAGTTCCTTCAGCTGTAGAAGTCGCAAAATAAGGGTACGAAGTATCTATTGAGCCAAAGGAATCAATAGCTTGTTGTAACGCTTCGTTTTCGGCAGAAAACTTGATCACGTGGTCCTCACGAGGCTGAAGTTCATAGTGGTGATTGGCAAGCGCTTCTAGTCTCTCGGAAATAAGATCTTTGGAGGAGAGCAAGTGTACTGGATCACCTATGATAAATTATAAAAAAAAATTCAGTTAGTGGGAAACTCAGTTACCTCAGACTTTTATTCGTTTAAATCGTATTCGCTGACTCTGGAAGCCTCTTACTATCTAAAACTTCCCGTTTCCAAGTTTTCTAAACCAATCATAAATAAAGCTTTGAGAAGCATAGTCTGTGTACAGCAGCCCCCTACCCACTTCCCATTTTTTTTTTGTGGGGGAAGGGTGGGTGAAGGGTTGCTGCACGAAAAACTATGTAAAGCACAACCAGTGCTTTAACGGATTACTTTCGACAGGCAAGGAAAAATGCTCTGATCTATCTTACAAAATCTCATTCAGTAGTTACCTTCTTCGAGGACTCTCTTCACAAAGCGACACGATACTTGCAGTGCATCTCGGGATGCCTCTAAACTTCGTCTTTGCACGTCCAGCGCAGTCTTCCTGTTCACTCGCACCAGCTCCACCGCGGCTCGCAGCTCACTCTTTCTTTGTTCTAAAGCCTTGATCTTAGCGTTGATGCTATCCTCAATATCCCGGATTATACCATCAGCTTTCATGTTCACCCGTGCTTGCATGCAGTTGAGCGCGGGAATGGCATTTTCTACCTTGATACAAACACTTCTTGTTTGTTCTAGTATTTGTGAAAACTTAGGGTATAGTTTGGAGTATGCGTCCTCTAAAAACTGAGTTTGATGCGTTTTGTGGTCTTTCAGAGCGCAATTGCGACAGATGCTTGTATTGCAAAGGTCGCAGAACAGCGCTAGTCTTTCACCGGTGTGTGTTACACAATAGGTTGGCCGGTTTAATTCCTTCAAAGACATGGTTTTTAGGTACTCTGTTAAAAAAACAAAACAAAACAAAACAAAACAAAAAAAAACAGATCAGAATAAAAAATTCTGTCAGTAAATCCCATAGTTTAAAAATGTCATTTTTGGTAATCAGAATCGTTAAGGATTTCAACTTGCTAGCCTGACAGTACAGGTGACCTGACGCGGAAAAAGATTTACTCGTAAAGCTCGAGATCACTCTTTCCCAGGCCCTTTTTTAACCCTTCCGCTGCCGCTGCCGGCGTACCTTATCTAGAAAGGGAACGGAAACTCTGACAGGCAAATAAAATATAAAATACAATGTAAAATCCTGACAAAGCATCCCCATGTCAGCAGATAACTGAGAAGACGAATAATTCATTCATTTCTAGTGCGCATCTTTACATGACTATGATGAAGAATAAAATTGAAATGGTGACTTGGAAAATTGTTAGCTAGGCGGATATATATTGATGCAGTAACAAATTCTCACGAATGTCTGATAAAGGATGGTAAGGCTCATCGCTTAGAGAGTTTGCGCTTCAAAAACTTTTCTTTTTCATCTTAAAACCCTCTTAATCCTCACAGTGACTAACCTTTAATTTCTCCATACAGTATGACGCTTGAACCAAATATAAAGGTCATGAGAATATGGGAAAAGATCACCATTTTAAGAAGTTTCCGATGTTTAAACAAATTCTCCTTTTAAAATACCACTGGAAACGTAAAGAGAACAACGTGGGGAATTTTTAAATGTATAAACGTATAGCCAGCCTCACCTAACGAGAGAAGATTATGGTGCTTTGTATCCTTAGCTTTTTTATGAGCCTCTGAGTGTAGCTCACAGAGATAAATCGAACATTCTCGACAACGCACTTCAGCCGATGATTCCTCCTCGCTGCAGTCACAAACATCACACTGAACGGATTTTCCTTCTTGTATTCGTAGTAAGTCGAGCAGTGACACCAGGAGCGAGTTAGCAGGAAGTTTCCTCACAGAATTTCGACTGTCTAGTCCTGTTTCTAAATGACACGAAGGGCACTTGAGTAGTTTGTCCTTCAGTGGTGGGTTTCGAAGTAAATTTTCAATGCACAGACAGCAAAAAGTATGCAAGCATGGAAGTATTCTTGGATCCACGAATAACTTGTCGCAGACCTGACATGTTAGGTTTGTCTTGATGCTCCAAACAACCTCTTCTTGATCAAGAATGTTCGTTTCTTTATCATCACTCATTCTATGTTAAAGTAATTTGCAATGATGACTTTTATCAATGCAAACACGCGAAAACTCATTTTACGTCGATAAAAAAAGAAAGCCGCAAAAAGCAATCTGAACGGGTTGGAATATAGAACACCTTTGTTTTACATAACGTAAACTATTAGACTGTCCAAGGCAATTCAAAGTTCACTGTGATGCCAACAGAAAACAAACGGGAGGTAATCTCTCTGACTGACAAAAGAATTAATTTACTTGTAATCCATTGAACGAGCACTTGATCTTGGTAAAGACCGAACTCAACACAAAGCCCTCATTTCAGCCAAACCAACAAATGATTCATTTCAGTTAGTGCAGCACGTAGAAGCCGGGATTCTTGTGAGATGTGCGGCGAGTAGCTAAAATACCTTACTGTTTTAGCGTGTGCCGGTTGAAGAACTTAAAAGCAACAATAAGCAATACCAATAAACATTCAAAGTGAGTGATTTACTCACCAACGTGATAGACAACAATAGGAATTGCTTTTGAAAATGGCGATCATATTGTCACCCAAGGGATTTTGGAGGCTTTTTCGTATGAAAGCAAGACGCCGACCCAAATATGTCGAACTCTTTGCTTGTGGCTTCGTTCAAAAATCGTTTCCGTTCACAAAACACTTTGTTTTTGTTTTCACAGATTTTCTACACCCCAAAAACAGAAAATAGAAACCGAGACTTTTGTCATGTAAAAAGTTGCAAGAGTACCTTTTTTCAAATGTATTAATTGGTTGAATAAAAGGCGCAAAGTTTTAAGTTTCTGAAGGAACTTTTAAGTTTCTTCAGAACACTTAAAAGTGTTGTGTTAGGGCGAACAAACTGTTCTTTGTTTTTTTTTTTTGAACACGCATATATGTTGATGCATTTTTCTTGTCCTCCATAACATTTATCAGTGAAACCGAGAGTCCGGATGAGGTATTTTTCGTCGACGTTTTCAAAATCCTTCTTTTTCAAAGGTCCACGCAAGAAAAGCGACGTTTTTTAAAAAAAACCACGTTTTTAAAAAAACCAAAATTTCCCGTTTTCATTAGTGTTTTCAGGCGTTTTAGTGTAAATAATTGGTAGAAAATTGCAAAAATATAATGTGCGTTGTCGAACTAGGTGCGCAAGAATGGATGAGGGCATGCAAAGTGGTCTGCGAAGTCCGTCGCGGGAGTAAAAAAAAGAATAAATGAAAAAAAAAATTGCTGATAGCGCATCCCGGGAAACTCTTGGAGTGACGACGATGCGCCGCAAGAGCTCTGTATGTGAGGCACTTTTCGATACTCATGGAGTACCGGGGTCCAATTTTTTTTGCACTTTTTTTTTTCTTTGACTCGCGCGACGGGCTTGGCTGGAAAGGAGGGTCTAACTCGTCTTCTACATATAAGCATAGTCTACTAACTGTGATCAGCGTTTGGACCAGATAGGCCAACACGCATCAAAATGGACACGTTTTCAAATGTAACCGGATCAGAGTGGATTGGTGAGAAGAATCAAAGCGAAAACACCAGTGTGGACGAAAATATTGAGTTAAATAATCTTTTCAGGTCAAACATTAAAACCCAATTTTCAAACTCAATTACGCATTTCGATATTACACACGTTATTTCAACACATACTTGCAAAAACTTCTACAATCACTTCATGGCCAGGACTTTCCGCTATTAGAACTCTTGGCTTGACGACAATGCGCCGCAAGAGCTCTGTGAGTGAGGTACTTTTCGAGCGCTTCACCCAATCAAATTCAATTTCGCGAGCGTGCTTCTGTCAATTTCCCACTGTGCACGCTGATGAATAGGCTTTTGTACATTATGCTTTTGTTTCCCCGCTAAAATGCTCCACCTTAATGCTCCATTTTTCCCACTAAAATGCTCGGTCTCCCCCAAAAAAGTAACTAAAATGTTCGGATAATGCTCATTATACAAAGGTATTTTTATTTGATTTGCAAGTTTACACTTACTTACAAGTGTTGCAAGTAACGACACTGGGTATACAGGTTTATGCTTTCTTCGTAACCCGTGTAACTTACACGGGTCACGAAGAAAACAAACATGGCCACCTTTTGAGTCTTGAAAGGTAAAACCGCTGACTTGTCTCCACTCAGCTGTATTAGTTTTTTTCGTGAATTAAAAGCGGGACTCAAAAAAGTTAATTTCTATTTTATTTTCTCGCAAAAGATTAATTTTCCGGGAAAATGCCACTAAAATGCTCGAATAATGCTCAATGCTTTTGCCTCACTAAAATGCTCGAAAAAATGCTAGCATAATGTACAAAAGCCAACTGATGAAGTCGGCAAACAAACGCAAACGCATTGAAGCGCACAAAAGGGAATTTCTGCCTTTTAGACATAAACTACAGCGTTGAAAATGTTATAAACAATTGGTTCATGTGTCGGCTGTGCGTTCATCGAGAATTGAAGCACGCGGGAAGTTTGGAGAACACGAAAGATGCGCCGGAGTTGCTCGAGGTGTAGCTGACGCATGAACTTGCACAATTCAGTTGATGAACAAGCTGAAAGAGATCGTGGATTTTTACTTTCCTTTATTTTTTCATCTGATACAACGCTCTCAGATTACCGATGAAGAAGATGTTTACTTTTCACACGTGCACAATGTAAAATAACTTAATTATTCGTTGAATGAAATCAATGCAGAATTAAGTCGCATTAAACAGGAAAAAAAAAACAAGCTTTTTTTGATATTTAAGACATTTAATTTACCGTTACGGTAAAATCCGTGGATAGAATCAGACACAAATTACAATTTATCATTAAAGACAAATGTGGAATTGTCATGATTTTCACCGCGATGTTAGTTTCAAATATAGTTTTATCTGGTTCTACGAAAGGAAGAACTAATACAACTACTTGCTTAAAGGCTTACGTATACTATAACACGGAATACTTATAAGCACACCTCGTTCTTTCCCCCAAGCAAATCAGTTTTTGAAATTTTTCCACCTCTTATTTAGTTTTATTCATATGTGCACGTGGTGTGTGCTGAACTGAAAATGAAATTTTAAAAATCAGTACTTGTCTAAGAACTAATATCAAATTTAATCACTTGTACAATCAAGAACGTTGTAAATCATTTGGAAAGCCTAGAACTCTAGAAATCCGAACATAGCAAAGCAACGCGATCATGGGTTGATATAATCTTGGCTGCTGACCTTGATTTACGAAAATAACAGCACGCCTCTGATCGCACTACCGTTTCATGCCTTTTGATCAGCTAACTAGCTAAGTCAAGATAAAAATGAGAAAATTGAAGTTGATCGACGAGATTCAATGCTGTCAGTCCAGATGTAAGACAAATTCTCGCCACTAGAATGCACGGAAGCGTACTGAGAAGAATCTTTTTTGTTTAATTGAAAGGTTCAAAAGCATCCAGCGCTAGCAGCTACGCTTAAATCAGTTCAGTTGAGTTTGACGTTAAGAGTAACATAACTTCGACTTTTCGTCCACGATGGTAGTTTTGGTGAGAACTTTTGGCCGCCGCTTCAGTCTTCGCAGAGGTGTTAGGATAGTCGGAATCTGGGGTCTGGTGAGTTCCGGCAGTTATCAATCATACGAGTTTCGGAGACATTCTCCTTTTCAAGCCCCTATATCACTTGATTTTTACTAATGGTTTTCGCCATTTCGCTGAAACCGCGAACTTTAGGTCGCGTAGAAAATAAGTACAGCGTAGTTTAGGGGGGGGGGGGAAGGAAACTGTGGTGCTGCGTCTTTGAAGTAACAGGTAATTTTGGCTTTATCAACTGAGTTGAGCACGCAAATTAGCCAACGTAAAGAGTTTCAAAGCTGACGTTTCGAACATTAGCCTTTCGTCAGAGCGAATGGCGAATGGCTAACACTCGAAACGTCGTATAGTTTAGGCTCGCGATATTTGTTTTCCATCGCTTGAAATGTTAAGATAAATTTTAGTGCGTGGTTTCCAAAACCTTGTTCTCTAGTCAAAAACGATAATGTTGTTACCAGAAAAACGAACGCACAATTTATATTGTAATAGCCAAGATATATGTGTATTATGACATTTCAGGAAGAGCAACTGGAAGCTTCATAGGTTTTACCGAGATAAAATGTCTCTTGCTTTGACTTGGTCAAAAAAGATTATCATGTAAAGCAGTTTGATTTGATGGTTAGATGCGCAGTTGCAACTCATACTTTTAAATTAACAAATATTATCCTCACTGGTGAGCTACTTTGAAATAAATCGCGAAAGAGAAGTCTGAAAACGATTCAGACTTCGATGGGATTTGACGAACGTGTATCTCTTTGATGTTTTAAACTACTGAAATCTCAAGATTGGAGCGATGCAAATTTTTGCGGGTTCTTCGTTCTTTAAAGGAATCGTTAAAGGAATCTGATCATAATCTAAGGAAATAAATCGTATTTTGACTTGCGAATACTTTTCAATTAAAGAAAAATTATCTTAGGTGAGGTGCAATTAACGAAACTGAAGCTCGTGGCTGGTATTACACGGGGGTGAGAAGGAGAGCGGGGGGAGGGGAGGGGAGGGGAGGGGGAATGTTGAGGCTTGAAGTTGATAGGCGCACGATACATTCGGTCCGAGTGTCTTTTCATGTTTGAAAAACAAAGCGTCTTCCTTTCTCATTAAAAGCACTGACCTTTGCTTAAAATCGATCCTTCTTTAATCTGCTGCAGGTTAAAGAAGGTTTGATTTCAAATAAGTCGAAAGAGAGCAATTTGTATCTGCTCTGGTATATCAAATCTGATCTGCACTTGCGTTTCTTTTCGTATTTCAGATTTACTCCGCATATGCAATTTATCAAGGCATTCACTTAATTAGACTTTTCAAGAAAGTAGAGGAGGACGCCGACGAAATCAGCCAATATTTGCCTTTCAGAGAAAAGTATCTTCTAGGTATCCCAGCTTGCTTTGTCTCGCTTCGTTAAAATCTGTTAGAAAGAAAACGTATTTAGGACGAAATCATTTTCATTTGAGAGCTTATTTGTTGGAATGTGCGAGGTTTATTAGCAACTTAGATAAGTACTATTCATTGGAATTGCTCGTGATCTTGTATGAAAATGAATGTTCACTGAACTAATATATTATCAACAAAAAAATGTCAAGGTTTCCGCCAAAAGTGTTGTCCTAGTCTATAATTTTTTTTTCCTCATGTTCTGATTATCTTTTGACTGATTAATTGATTGATTGTTTTAATGAACATCTCTAAATAAAGCAATCGTCCCACTGAATTATGCGAACCTCGCAGCCAGAGTCGTCTCAGTGTTGGTGGACCTGTTGCTTCTGGGATCCTCTTTCTCAGTAAGTCCAACACACTAATTCTAAGAACGTAATTTTTAGCATGTTACTGAAAATCATTTGAGAAAATAAAGCATTATGATTAAAGTTGTCTCATATTTCATGCTAATTCTTATTTTAGAAACTTCAAACTAGTCGTTAGATTTTGTAACGGAAACGACTTTTCTAAGAGAGAAATGCATAATTAAGATTGTTTCGCTGAATAGTCTTGGTATGTTACGTATCGGTTGTTTGTTTTTTTTTCTTATATCTTTATGGATTAATTATATAAACTATAGTCTGCATTTGGCGCAATGATATGAAGAGGTATTTGTCCGTGGATATCATCTGTTCGGATATTGTCCAAGCTAAATATACGAGCATATTTTCGTGCCAAATGGAGGCTATTGTCTTTATTATTCTTCAAGTATTTTTGCAATTTGCATCATACGGGAAAGTGTATAGGAACAGCTTATTGTTTGATGCGTGGGATGTTTACTTTTCAGTGTTCTTTGGCACGATTTTATGAAAAACTAACATGTCCCTTCTTCATCTGTAACTACACCAAAATGGCCTTTCATCTTGAATTCAAGTATAAATGCTTTCATTGCAATAGATGCTAGGTCTAAGAAATGGGGAGTTTCATGATCATGTGATGCCTTTAGACCCTTCAAACAATGTTTATTAAACCTGACCATATGACTACCGAACACAAATCGTCAAGCTTTCGCTTCAAATTCAATCGTTTATTCATGGTTGCCATGGCAACTCAGACAGTCGCAGCTGGTAGTGCTGATTTGGTTAGTTATGTATTTGTTTGTCAATGATCGATCCTCGTTCTTTTCCGTCTCAGGGTGACAGGCGTTTGGCGTTTCCATGGCTTGGGTGGAGCATCTTCGATCTCTGTTTTACTCTTGGAGTGATGGTATTTTTTATTTCCATCTGGAAAGGGGTAAATTGAAACAAACTTCTTTTTTTTTAATGAAATACTAGTAGATAGTTTTTTCAAAAAACTTAACATGATTTCTGTTTCTTTCTATGTTACAGTTTGCCGCCTTCCTACTTGTCTTTAGCAGTGAATGGTTGTTGTCGGTATGTTTTGTTTCAATCTTAGGACAATTTGTATTTGAGAGTCGAAAGAAATTGGAAATTGCATTGGTTTTGCTTTACTTCGCTCTGTGATTGGTTCAGAAATCTCGCGCCACTGACCAATCAAGTGCAAAATTGAACTAATCACGACTTATTTGTCCACCTTTTCCGGCACTTTTCTCACTCTAAATTCCCGTTGGTTCTTAAAGGTCATTTCCTTTCTTCAGATCAGCCGTCTGGATTACTTTGAATTCAGGTTTTACTAAACTCGATCGAAAAGCACTCAATTCTCTTTTTCAATTAACTTCCCACTCGTAAATTAACGGTGACCTGGGTCTTACCTCATGTCCTCCTTTCTTTTCCTAAGATCTACTACATTGTCGTGGTTTATTCGTTCATCGAAGCCCTTCGTGAAGATCCCTCGGGAACGAGTGCGGGATATCGTGCAGGATATTTGTCCCTCTGACAGGAGGCAATCAAACTCAGATGGTAATTATATTTTCACTGTTTTAATGCAACATAACCATCTCTTCGTTGAGAATTTTTTTTATGTTACCGAACAAAATGAAAAAAAATTGGAGCCGGACAGCAATGTGGGCACGGAAGAGGTCTGTCAGGGTACTGCTCGGGAACCTATCGCGCGCTCACATTGTTCACGCGCGTCAATGAGCCTGCTCGCAAGTTAACCCTTTCACTGCCACGAGTGACCAAAACAGAGTTTCTCCTTACAATATCACTACGGTATCACGCGGACAAGTGATGACAATAGACAAAAATATCAACTAGAGTATTACAAGTTGATCCACTACCAAATTCTCCAAGGAACATTATAAGAATTGTAAAGCAGACAGGAGGGAGAATTTCTAATGAGATCTTGGGAGTGAAATGCAGGGATAACCGCAGGAAAGATAAATATATCAAATTTTCAGCCAAGAGTCATTCTTATTCCTCACTTTTTCATTTTCCTTTCATATCAGAATTTAGTATAATGTCAGAGGTGAGCAAAGAGTTTCCAGCAATCTGATTGGTCAAGCGGTTCCTTATATGACGCTGTATAAACTGTGTTAACTACTCGGTTCTGTAAAAACAAAGTTCTTATTCGCGCACACACTAATCCAAGTAATCAAATGTAGGGCCAAAATTCACGAGTTTTATACCTGCTAGCATTTTGCATATATTACGGTCACACTACAATGTACACTAATTAGCAACGATTCTATTTTGATAAAACGTAAATGGCGGCGTGAATTGCTGATGATGTAACAAACTGTTCCACGCCGTTTAAAATAAATGTTAAAATAAAATTAAATTTTAATAAATGTTACTAAAATGTTATTATTTTAGAATTTTCTCTGTTGTTCAGCTCTGAAATTATACTTAAACAATTATTCGCCTCAGGTTCGGTGAATATTGTCGAATAATCCCCTCAACTTCGTCTCGGGGATTATTCGACGGTATTCACCTCGCCGTCGGCGAATTATTGTTAAATATCGCTTCTTTAAGCGAGCCAAGTTACGATAATTTATCAAAGTCATTTTTTTTTCATCATTTCACAGGCTGCAATGGGACCCCCTCCATTCGCAGTATCACACATGGGCACGGTGTAAAGTCAGCAAGAAAATAAAATGTGACCGACCCAAGTGATTACTGATCATCGTTTTAATTTGTTATTGTTTAAAAGAATAACTGGCGTGAACTGAGTTCAAATGTAGAGATAGTTTTTTTCGGATTGGTAGAGAGTAGAATCAAGGTACCAGTCATTATCTTTCACCTGTGGCGGGGAGGAGGTTAACCCCATCAAGACCCGCTGTAAACCGTGTGATCCCCCATAAGGCTCTGCAGTATTCTAATGAATTCCCTTCGACCATTGGCAGTCAATTTTCGATGGTCCTCCCCCTAGAC